ATTATACTACTAATAGCAAGCAATATAACAATAATAAAAACAATGATACAAGGTTTTATAAGTAGTAGTGATAGTGATATTTTTTAACTCTTGTTTCAAAGAGCTAAGAACCACTAAAGTGCTCATTACTTATCATTTTTCCTACCTGTGAGAGATAAGTGGCCTACTGATCTTTAACCCATGGCATTAGATACCGAAAATAATCAGCATATTTAAAAAAAATAAAATCTCTCAAAGCAATATTCCTTAGCACACTCCTTCCTGGGATAAGCAAGGAGCAGAGAGTGGCGCAAGTCCAGTTTGGATCACATGCTGTTTTATCAAATAGTTATTTGCTTCCTGACCTACACAGCAGAAGGAAAGATCAGGAGCAAGAACTGAGGAAGACCCAGATTTTTGTTTTTGTTTCTTCAAAAGTTATCATAAACTCAATTGCTGAACAATGCTAAGCTCAAAAAATAGTAAAACTGCAATTTTCAAAAATAATCTGCCCATATTATAGAGCAGCAACTCAGAGCACCTGACAAACCTCTATGTGAGCTTAAAGACATGCTTTATTTTTATTATTATTTTCATTATCACAACAGTCTTTTTATATTCAGGTATTACAAGAGAATGCCTGCCTCTATCTGACAAGACACATTTTTCAAAGTACTCACCTTCTAGAACAATATTTAAACATTGACAGGCATTTGCACAAGACAGAGCCCTGAATTTATTTTTCCCTTTAGTTATATAAATGTTCCTATTATTTTATCACTGAATAAAATTGGGAACAAGCCACAAGGACATTTGTATTAAGTGATTAAAAATAAGGATATGTCTGAAAAGAAAAAGAAAATGAAGGTAAAACTACAATTTCTGGAAACCAAAGAAATAATAGAGGAAAGCAGGCAGATGTCTGGGCCTTCAAATAAGGCAAATTTGGGTTCCAAGTTTATATCATTTTACTTATTAGATGTGTGACCTTAGCAATGGCACTTTATATCTCTGAGGTTCAAATGACTTATCTAAAAAAAAAAAAAAAAATGGCAGTAATACCTAAGTTATAGAATTTTGAGGCTTAAATGAGATAACTTACATAAACTTATTACCACCAGTGCTTAATCGATAATAGCTGTCATCATTAAATAGAAATATATTTCTGTACCTTACAAAGCAGTGTAGGGCTGAATGTTACAGTTCTACAAAAAGAGTGTCTGTGAAAATTTCATGGAGTTTATGTAGAGAAGCTATCTTGACTTTAGTGAGCCTGCTTATTGGTTGATTACCAGTCTCTACTTTCTTTTACATAAGCAGGAAAATGCCAGCCAAAGCAGTAGTTGTCAAAGTGTCATCTCCAGACCAACAGCATCACCATCACTTGGGGACTTGCCAGAAATGTAAATTATACGGCCCCATCCCAGACTTACTGAATCAGAAACTGTGGGAGTTATATTCAATAATTTGGGTTGCGAAAATTTTCCAGGTGACTCTGATGCAGGCTAACATTTGAGAAACATTAATCTAAAGAGACTTTGGTAAAATCCCTCCCTTAGCTGAGATACATTTTCTAAATAAAATTGACTATTACCTAGTGAAACAAGTTAGAAATAAAAGGCAACAAGTGATTATTAAAGGAGGATCAAAAGTTTTTGCATGCAAGGGACTTAGAGATTTGTGAGTCTTATTAGGGTAGGAATGACAAAAATCTTGACAAGATATTATTTGGTTATGTTAAACTTATACTACATGTTTCTGTGAACATGGATGATAAATGATTCCAATGTGATTGGGACAAACTCCATTAGACAACAATCTTTAGAAAGGTAATTTATTTGGCATCTACAATTTAATCACTAATCCTAAAAATGTGTGAATCTCATCGATTACACCTATGACAGGTACATCTAAGACTATTCTTAGGAATCATACATGATAGAAATAATCATAAATTAAAAGTTGTTAACCTTGATGTTGGAATGAAAGAATCAGGGAAGGGCAGAAAGACATGGCAGGGCAGAAAGCAATATACCAAGAGTAAAGAAAAAGGGGGGGTGAAAAAGGATAAAAATTGTTAAAGCTCAGATATTGAAGGCATTGTAGATAAAGGAAAGAACCAATGCCATGATCTACTGAATGCATTTAAATGTTTAAGTAGTAGTTTAAGGCTACCCAAGAGGATGTATAATTAATCATCTTAACCAAACTGCTTACTGGATTATGTTGGGAAACAACACCAAATATCATTACCGTAAATGTCTTTTGTTAGAACAATTTGATTCCATTGTCCTCTTGCTTCTATCCCCTCACATCATAGGCCAGTGGTGAGGGTCCTATGTGTTTGTGTTCTTGTTTTCCATTTCATGAGTATTTAGCTGTATCTCTCTGATCCCACAATTTCTTGTATGTGAGAAGTCACTTACCAGGCAACTTGCAGAAAGGCCTATTTTCAAAAATATTTTCCAGAAGAGTTTATATACCTTTTTCTTTTAAAAAATAATAAATACACATATTCTCATGGATTAGATCACCTTGAAGGACCAAAGCTATGTCCCATATTCTTGTA